CTCCAAGATGGCCGCCGTATTTCCTGCGCCGGAGCGGCCAATGCGGGGTCTACTCTTATATTATGTCTATGGGTCCGTAGTGTTCTGGGGTCCTGTGTAGCTCCTGCAACGAGAACTTAGCTGACTTTAATATTTCCTGTGTTTTATTTTGGTCATTATTGTTACACTTAGTGTTGATATGTGTGTGTTAGGCATGTCTATCGGACATTTATAGAATACAGACAAATTGCGTTCCGTATCGGTTCAATACGGGACGCAACATTTAACAGCATAATACGGGATGATTCCGTATTTTATGGGACGGGTGGCAACCCTACTGACAGACCACTTAGTGCATTTAGCTAGCTAACTGGCTAACTATCTAGCTATTGCTAGATAGATGTAATTTATTTAGCTAGCTAGCTAACTCTATTTATCTGACTAGCTGGCCTAGCGCCATCCTGGCCACCTGTGCAGAAATGTAATATTTGATTTACTGAACCTAGAGTACATTGATAGGTAGGCCTAAACATCAGCGGGTTTGAACTGTATGGTGAGTTTAATACCTGGTCCATAGTTGCGTGATGGTGAAGGTACTACTACTTCATAATTTTTCAAATACTTTTATATTGTCTGTATTCATGAAAATTCACACATTTTAATACAGCTCACCTTATATGGGCCTGTGCATTACACGTTATATAAACATCGCATCAGACCCGACCGTTTTAATAAGCACTTTTTTAATGAAAAGCTACAGAGCTAAATGAGACTGGGTCACAGGAAAACAACAGAAAAAACATAATTATTCATCAAAGAGAACTTCTTAACTGTTTTGTTGGAAAATATCAACATACACAAGCTGAACAATCAGCTATTAAACTGTTGAACTGCTAACTCCATTAAGACTAACAGGTCATTAAATTAAGCTCAACAGAGGAACGCTTTTCAGAAGAAAATACTTTAAGATTAAGATGGCAGCAGATATAGCAGTCTCTACATTTGCTGCCATCTACTGGATGGATGGATGGATGAATGGATGGATGGATGGATGGATGGATGGATGGATGGATGGATGGATGGAGTCACGCATCACTTTCTGCTGAATTATTCATGCTCATTCATTAAATGTCCTTCTAGAGTACAAGGTGTTTTTTTTGTTTTTTTTACATTTTCTCAATCTCCAAATGACTTTTCCATTCATCTGCAGGTTTTAAACCCCAAGAAGAAAGGCAAGAAGAAGAAATACATCAATTCTGGGACTGTAAGTGCGCCCTGATTGGTTGTAGCTCTCTGTCCTTTTGTCTGAACCGGATCGTTTGTACTTTTTAAGAAATTGGATTTCACCTCTTGGATCTGCTCCTCTTATTGACTCTCTTTGCTGTTTGGCCTCCTGTTTTGTCGCTTTATACTCTCTTCCGTCATCCGTTCATCCCCTCGCCGTCTATGTGCGTGTGTGTGTGTGTGATGGTATGCATGTTTGTGTTTTTCCAGGTAACTCTGCTGTCCTTCAAAGTGGAGTCGGAGTATACCTTTGTGGATTTCATCCGCGGAGGGTGAGTGGAATGATAATTAGCCCACACTCACTGCAAGACTAAATAGACTTTTTTTTTCCCTTTGTCCCTTTGTGTGTGTATGTGCTTGACTGAAGAGACTTGATGGGATTTCCCCAAAATCTCACATGTGGGCATAATATTGAAATCATGTTTGTTGAGAATTGATTATATTTTGGAGAAGGTCTCATTGCAGTTATCTAATTTATTTTGTTCATCTTTAATTACGGCTTCCATTAGTTTGATCCAATTAAACCCACAGGGTGGTGTGAGGCTGCTATCACGCCATACCAATTAGCCACCAAGCAGTCAGCCAGAAACTGATTGAATTGCAGTGTATATTTTTGGTGTACTGAGTGTCGGACATATAACCTTTGTCAGGTTTACTGAAGCACTTTATGTTCTATGTGCAACAGGACACAACTGAACTTCACCGTAGCGATTGACTTCACAGCGTCTAATGGTAAGTTACTGAACATAGACTGGGCAGACTATGTGATTTTGCTCATTTTCAAGGAAATTAACAGTTTTTTATGGTATTTTTATTTAAGATGAAATATCAGCCAAACATCCAGAAGTTATATTTGATCTTCAAGTGAAAGATGGCAGCCTAACAAGAGTTCCTGTGGATCAGTGGTAGCGTAGGTTCCTGCGTTCACAAAAGCATTTGAACTGCACCAGAGTTCACTTCAGCTGAACTGAGACCTAAGTATTTAGATGAACCAGAGTTAGCATCACAGTTCAATTCTTGACTTCATCAAGAGATTGCTTTTACATCACAGTTGAATTCTTGAATTCTTTTCTTGACTGCTTCTGCTATGTTTTAGGATATTGATCCACATATAACTCATCCTTATGGTTCTGGTAGACATCCACTGGTCTAAAAGCTGGTTAAAGATCGCATAAAACGCTGTTTAAATGTGACTAATCTCCCAAATTTTATAAAAAAATCTTTGTGCAAGGAGCCTAACTTTAGTCTCAACTTATCACAGAAATTTCTCAAAAGGCTTCTTGAATCATTTTGATGTTTTTCAGAAAGCTTAAATTTGTAGTATCTATATTGAAGAGCTGTCAGATTTGAGATGGCTAAGATCTAGTGAAGACAGATATCTTGAAACAATGGAAAAGATCTTAAGTATAAAGGGAAAGCATTTTAGACATTTTATCTACATAATTTGATAAAAGGCAGGAATAATTTGTCTGCTGTTACATGTGATAATTTCCAGGTTTTAACAACGAAATCACCAAATGTCCAATGACCTTAGAACTTCCCGTTCTATCAAGTATGCTGATGACAACATAGTATATCAAAATGCTGTTTTTTTATTTTATTTTTTCAAATAAAAATTATAACATTCAGGAAAACTGCTTTAAGCAAAACATATTTAGTTTTCTTTTATCAGAGCATTCAGAGAAAAGTAAGGTCATAAAGGTTTGATTAATCGGTTTCATGTTTCAGTTGATTCAGTTTAGATCAAAAATCCATTAAAAATACAACTAAAGATTTGTGACTTGGGGATGTGAAAGACAAAACATTTTTAATAATACAGACAACCTCCCACAAAGCATTCACTGCCTCCCTTCTCCTGTCCAATATAGCGTTGAACTGTCAGTCACGCAGCTAGCCATGCGCTGCATTTGAGGTTTTTCATTCCTTTCAGTTGCCATTTTACTGCACTATCTCAATTATTTTATTTTCTTATTACATATTTGACTCGTTTCGTGTTATACTCGGTGTACAATTATCTGCAGAAGTCATGGATGAAATTATGGCAGGTCATCAAAGGTGCATGAAGCTGCAGGGGAGGACTCCTGTGATTGATGCTGTCGGTTTATACTGATAGCTGTGGAAAAACAAAAAAAAAACCCTTTCATTTAATTTCATCTAGCAGCTGGTGATCACAGATCTCACCTGTTTTGTTTCCTCCAGGCTGAACAGCCATGTTCTACTCACTCCACATCCTTTTATTCAATGTTTTGTTTGGATGTGGATTCAATTCAGAATTCACATCAGTCAAACTGTTGAATGCATTAGAATATTATTAAGAAGTTCATTTCAGCAACTCTATCATCAAATGAAATACATCGTATGGACTAATTCCATATAGATTGATGCTTTCAAGCTTTTACGTTAAATGTGTTGATTTTCAGCTAATAAAAATGACATTTAAGAATATTATGACTTCATTCTCGTATTATTGACTTCAGTCTCTAAATATTACAACTTTATTTCTTTATTATCATATTATTATGACTCCATTGTCACAATATTATGACTTTATTCTCGCAGTACTACAACTTTATTCTTTTATTATTTCAACTTTATTCTCATATAAAGTCAAGTATTCTAGCAACATTACAACTTTATTCTCGTCATATTATGACTTTCTTCCAGCACAAGTTTATTTTCATAATAACTTCATTCTTATTTTTTTCTTAGTACGGTTGTAAAACTCCTTTGAAAAATATGGCATCAGACCAATAAAAAAACACATTTAATACAGAAATGTGGGCTTAATGAAAAGCCTGTTTAAAGGTTGTAATTTCAAAACTGTACTTTTTATCTGACCAACAAACCCCATCAGCCTTACTTAATATATGTAATATTACAGTTTCTTGTTTTTTGTAATTTGACCATATTGGTCATTTAACTAATTTAGCCCTGTTTTATTACAATATGTACATCGCTTTCTTAGGCCATTTCTCTGAAACTGTGTTTTAGCGAGTTAGGAACACTGTACTTGTTTCATACAAACTTTTATAAATCGTATTATCTTTTAAACATCTTTTCTGGGGCGTGGCCAGGGTGAGGGCCAGGGATGGACTTGCTTGTAACCCATTGATAACTTCTTGCAGTTCTGAATATGTTTTAAATAATGAATGTGTTTTGCTGAAACATGTCAGATGTGCACAGTACAACTTGATATTTATATTTTCAGAAGCGTATTGTACACCCGCGGCGTAACTGGAAGTCCAATTAGATAAGGGGAAACTCATAGCTGGATCTGTTAGTGTGAATAAGCGTCAGCGTTACTATGGCTTATTAGATCAAACGGGTCTTTTAATAGAAGGCTTCTCTGAAGAGAATCTTATCATAAACCCAGGAGTGAGAGATGACATTCAGTTATGAGAACTATTACTACATGTGCAATAATCATTGTGCGGGTAAATGCTAAAGCATTATAATAAGACTGATTCCTTCCCATTATGACCCAATTGATTTTTTTTTCCATATGATGTGATTTTCTTCCTTTCTGTTCTCAGGTTTTAGCGGCCTTGGGTTTTCCACATACATTTACACATACATCTTCTGGTAGAATACGGTGGTTTTTTGCTGCTTGGAAACAGCTGCAATGTTTTCTATGCATTGCTCAACCATTTCCTTATGATGCACTTTGGATCTAAACAGAGTTAACAGAAGAACATTAAAGTGTGATTAATGATAATTAAAAAAAACTAAAAGTTGGAAATGTTTGTTCAGATTGGATTATAGCTGCAGTATGTAACTTTTGTTAAAAAAAAATACATATCTTTTCAAATTATCCCTTTATTTTGACAGTGTGGTACGAGATAGATAAAATGTGAAAAAAATCACATCCTTCTCCCAGTGCAGTTTTATCTAGAATCAATCAATCAGAGCTAGGAGGCGGGTCTTAGCACTGTCAATCACCCTCTGTGTAGTTCTTATCTACGCTGCAGTTAGCAGAATTTGTTGTGAATGCTATGACTGGTTAGCATAGCTATCAATGATGGGGATAAATGGTCTTCTTGGATTGATACGTTTTTTTCCTCTGCCATTAGCATTCAGCAGTGAGTACATGAGATTGATTGACAGAGCTAAGACCCTCCTGGCTCTGATTGGCTCTGAGAGGTGCATTTCTTCAAACGGCAATACTAGCTAAGAGAGGAAGTAGAGTAGATCAATTTTGTTCACAGATTATTGTCTTATAACATACTATCACAACATGGTGATAGTTTTAACAAACATATAAAAACCATATATTTTTTTAATGAAACTTAAGTTGCTGCAGCTTTATGCAGACATTGCAGTGTTAAGCTTAACCAGCCAGGCACAGGTCCTTTTAGTTTCTCACAATATGAAACACAAAGGATTTTATGTAGAATTTGAAGTTCTAAATTCAAGTTTCAGGAAAGTTTGGAAAAAAGCAAAGCTACACATTCCCAAGGGAATTAGCTTTAATCGGTGAGCTCAACCAGTTTTGTCCCACCATGACAAACCTTGGAGGAGGAATCCTCCGAAATCCATTGTGTCAAACAACAACTTAGTTTCCAATGTGCCTCCTATGGGCCAAAGTTGTGTACACAGCCAAAAATCGTTATTGGCACATAAATAAGGTTATGCAGCAATTCCCAGTAAAACACATTGGCATTAAATTTTGATGAAGTTGATTAGGCTGATATATCCAACTGGGCCTCCTCATGGATCTGTGTTACTTTGCCCATCCGGACCCTAAGCCAGCGTTCACACAACTCTCAGAAGCCTTGGTGTTGTCATCAAGTAGATTACATAATCAAAGCAGAGAAAGGAGCCAGTATTTTTTCAAACCCTATTGTTTGTCTTGAGTCGCGGTCTTTAGGTACAGACTCTGGCTAAACACCAGATAACAGCACACTCACACCATGATGAGAGTTGAGTTGTACAAAAACAAAAGCAAGCAAAATCAGATGAACAATCAAAACACACCAATTTCCAGCCTTTGCTGTATTTTAAAATTGTTTCACAATTCTGCTCATGACATTAAGAACATGAAGAGTTGTACTCCTAATCCCATAATTTATGTGAAAATCCACTTAGATCTGTTGCTGGTCAAACATGCAGTGTGATGTGGGGGCAAACCTTCTGTTACAACGTGGAGATATTTCCTTTGGTCACGCCTGTTGCGTTGTCTTTGGGGTGTGTGTGTCTTCTAAGGTAACCCATCCCAGCCCACCTCCCTCCACTATATGAGCCCCTACCAGATGAATGCATATGCCATGGCCCTGAAAGCAGTGGGGGAGATTATCCAGGACTACGACAGTGACAAGCTCTTTCCTGCCTATGGTTTTGGAGCTAAGCTGCCCCCTGATGGCAAAATCTCCCACGCCTTCCCACTGGTAAGATGGACACACGCATATAAAACATATAGATTCACACTTGCGGAGCACGTCCGTGCAGTCGGCTTGGGCCAAGACGTGTGGCTACAACAACAGCTGGACATGTGAGTTGAGACGATGGCTCATCTGCCTGCCTGCCTGCGGGAATCTCCCGGCAACCTCTCTACTTCCTCCTGGCTCCCTCCCGAGGGGATGAAGGCAGACTGTCAAACATTGCTGGATTCTAAGCTGAAGTAAAACTAAGGGATGTGTATTGTTAAATACAAGTTAACTTTTGATGACTGCAAACTTTATTGTATAGGCAAAGATTATCAGGCAAATGAACACACAATTGTAAAGGAATGCTTCAAATTCAGTAGTTTCTTATTGTACTTTAGATGAATATGTTGTTGCATGTTATAATGGAAATAATTAGAAATAGATTTACTCTTCACCACATTTACATTAAAATACTTGTTTTTTTTTTAATAGCCAGAAACAGTGGTGTACACATTTATTGCTATGTGGGTAAGCATTCAGAAGCTAAAGTCCTCATGAGAAGTCAGGGATTTTTCATTTGTATTTTTTATTTATTTTTTTTTTTGGAAAACTCAAAAACAGCAGCAGTCTCCAAAATGTCTGAAGATCTTAAACCAAGTTCCTATGGAAGACCCATCCTGCCATAAACAAGAAGTAAGATACAACAACAATATTGTATCTTACTTCTTTTGTGAAGGAATAAAATAAAAAATGCAAGGGCTACAGAAAATATATTAACAAATTGTCATCTCTCTAATATAGAAGAAAAAGATATAAAAAAAATTAGAAACATGCTACAGAGCCAACTTAATAGCTAAAGATAAAAAATAATTAAAAAGTATCAATTTAAGTCTGTTATTTTGATCAGTTTTTTATCTTTTTGCATTTGATGGCACATTGATTCATTTGTTGAACTATTTTTGTGGTGAGTAATTGACTTATTAAGCTTTTATGTATTTATCACCTGTTAGTATTAATTTCAATTTCTTACAGAAGCATGAAAAACTGTGTTCCAAAGAGGATTTATTTTTTCCTGCTGATAAGGATGTAAGAAAATGGATGAAATAAATGATGGTCTGAACACAACGGTGGTTGATTAGATAATTTAACCACCTTCTCTTCTGGTGATCTGTCAGAGTTGGTTTATGGGTCATCTATTTTTTTCTTTGTAACTGAACAGAAATACACCAAATTCTGTAGTACATCCTCATATTAAATTGTCAATGTCAAGCTAGCATAGCTGACCTTTGTCCCTATTTTTTTTTATTAAAACTTTTTCTTGATTTATGAAATGTGATATTGTTGAACTTTATGTAGTAGTCATAGTGTTGACAGTATCAATTAATGGCATGGCATCACCATTTTTCCATTAAAATAGTTTCCTTCCTATGTGTGTGCCTGTGTGTCTCCATATTGTTCTTCTCTGTGTTGCAGAATGGCGACAGCGATCAGCCAAACTGTGTGGGCATAGAGGGAGTTCTGGAGGCCTACTTCCAGAGCCTGAGGACAGTGCAGCTGTATGGACCCACCAACTTCGCACCAGTTATCAACAAAGTAGCAAAGTAAGCTCAAAGGAATCCAACATTTTACACTAAATCCCACCACTTCAAGCTTATGGTGAGATATCAAGTCAAAATCAGAATAGATTGGCTGTGATTGTTTGATTCTTATTTTAATGTCTGGAACTTGAAGGATTGAGAAGTGTACCTATTTTTTCACAAATTTCTCTCTCTTGGTCTGTTCTTGTTTAACAAAATGGTAGATTTTTAAAATTAATTTCAAAACTGTTAAGGACTCAGCAGTTATACACCTACCTCAGAAAGAGGGTGTACTTTCTTTTTATCATGACTCTGAGCTACAAAGATTATAGCTTCATAAAAGGTATCAGTAAAAAAACCCACGTCCCCAAAAACCAGGACTTTTATTAAATTTAAGGAGTGAAGTGGTGTGAGATGCTTGTGTTTGGTTTTACCTTTTGTGCTCATTTATCAATTTTTTATAATTAATTTGCACTTAATTACATTGATATCCATGTTTAGCAAAAGTTCAACATTGTTGGTAAAATCACCTTAACGTTTGATGACAGACATGTTACCAGAACATATCATCACTCTGGGTTTCCCAAAATAACCTAAAGAGGCAACAAACAACACAGATGTCTAACCTGATACCAGCCAGTGCAGCATGCTAAAAGGAGGCTGTTTTGTTATTCTCTCTTCTAATCACATGAGACACAGACCAAAATGGATTGAAGTAAAGTCTCGACTGTTTCCAGTAAATCTTTTGACTAATGCAAGTTATTTTTTTTTCTGTTAGTATTTTGCTGTTGCAGGCTTTTCCTGCATTAAAATGTGTTACAGCGTCCTCCTCTTCCATTTGGGGAGTGGAGATCTTTTCATTATCCCTCATATTTATCTGGGATTTCCCTTCAGACACTGTTGTGCTGTCTCCTAATCTAGATTCTTGGAGCAAATGTCATGTTTATGTCCCACAATTCTTCCCTTTGGAGCTTTTTTTGTGGACTGGTAGTTGAAGTGTAACAGGCTTTTACAATAAAAGTGGTTGTCAGACAGAAAAGGCTGCTGAACCAAGCACCAAGCTGCACATGGTTTACCATTTTTGAATTTGACCTGTTGGATTTCTGAAGGATATATGTCATAATATATGATATATATAAGGTTTTCAAATAATTTATAATTTATTTTTTTTTTTTTTTTTTTTTACACAAACAATATTCTTTAACAGAATGTTGTTCAATTTTCAGAGCCACAGGAGACTTGTTCTGATATAAAGAGCCTGGATGTCTCACTTACACTTTGAAAAAATTTACTGCTTTAACCTTAGAGAAATGAGTGACAAGTGTCTGACATTATAATCTTTATGGTCTCTACTTAGATATGTATTACTTCATATAACACCAGAAAATGTATTTTCTGGTTTTTAATGGTGCAAATGTATGACTTTAATAAATGATAGAAATAAATAAATAAATAATTCTTGCAAAATTATGACATTTTGACAAAAGAGCATGTTCAGGTTCTTTCTTGTATTAATGTGAAATTTTTGGTGGAATTTGTCTATTTTTGTCTGTCTTTATCTACATTGACGCTAATACTCACTGTAAGTCATAATCTTGGAATATTTTTGATGCAGTAATAGTAAAAATTGCTTTTCTGTTTTAAAAATTACCTCATGGTAGAATGAGAGACCTGCCGAGACTACTAACATGTTAATTTTGAGTAATTGACTACAGAGATTTAAACACATTGAAAATTTTAATGCAGTTAATCACTTTTTTTTTTTTTTTTTTTACATACAATAGGTTCCAGCCGGAACCTTTGTGCTCACATGTTTCTGGTACGTCAGTAAATCTGACACATGAACGACATTCACATAAAGCAGTAAAGGACAATGAAGCTGCTTCTCTCAGACCGCCGAGGGTTCATTTAGCTTCAAAAAAACAATCTGATGAGATGCTGGAAGAGATTATTGTTGTGCACTAAAAGGAGTTAGCCTATCAGAAAAGCTATTCAAGCCTAAAATAGCATCTTCATGCTAAACATGTAGCAGCAGTAGCACAGAAGTTCCAACGCTGTCAGAATCCACACTCCACATTTCTAAAGAAGTTCCATAAATAATCAAGAGTTCCTGAAACACTGGAAAGCTGAATGGGTAGAATAACACTTTGAACCAATCTGATGGTTGAATAACCTGAAAAACATATTAAAAACAATAAATATCTTTTTGTTGAGCTCATTCATATGTCTATTCAAAACGTTAGCAGCAAAAAGGTTTTTTAATTAAAACTGTTGCTTATTTTGTTCTCAATTAAAATGTGTGAGAAAATAACTTTCTTTTACAGAAAGAACTCTGTTCATCCAGTGAAGACGTGTTGTTTTTGTTTTAGTCAAGGTTACGCAGAGATACTTTGGCTAATTTATTTTATTCTAACACTCAAGCTAAAAAACTCATTGAAGATACTTTAAACAATACTTTAATTGACCAATTTCTGCCTTAAGCTACAAAAATCAGTCAGAGGACACATTACGCTGTCAATGAAAAACCCCATTAAATTATTATTATTCTCTACTATGAAGGCCCTAATTGTTCACCTCTGATACAGAACTGATCCTCCAACAAGAAAGCTTTTTTAAGTGATGTGAGGTGGAGGAAGGAGGCTTTGACGGAAAAAAACACTCAGACTCACATTTCACTGACTTGTCATTTAAAAGGTGGTTTTGGCTGAAGCATGACCCACTTCTCCATTATAAGATTCTAAACGGGAACATCATTTAGCAAATGAACATGCTCTGTTAAGCATCGTCTGTCTTTGTCAAATTGTCAATGGTCTTTCAGTTCAGAAAAAAAAAAAAACATAAGTAGAAACTGTTTATAATTTCAGCTGTAAACCTCCTCCTGCAGGTTTTAATTAAAAGAGCAGTTCAATGAAACAAAAGCAGGGTGGCCTTTTAATATTTTGTTAAGTGAGTGGTTTGAATTATTAGGCTGCCTTCTCCTTTGTCCATGTTCTGGTAGGAAAACTGTCCATGTTGAAACTGGACTCATTTCCCATCACATATTTCACATGAATATCATTAATATCTGGAAACATCGGAATTAACCAGAAATGTCTTAAAAATGTCTTAAGAATGTTTGGATTACAATAGGCATTTTTCTGAGTGGATTATAAAAATGAAAAAAAAAAAAAAAAAAAATCCACTTTACAATTTGCTTTCCTAAAAACTTATTGAATATCCCATTAAAATTCATAAAGGAAAGAGGAAAACTGTTGTCCTGTCTAGTGGTGCGGGGAGAGCATTAGTTCAGTCCTGCATTGAGGGAGCAGACAATAGCTGCTGACGCTTGAATAGGACCGTTTCTCCAGCTGGAAGTATTTATTTCATGGACGCCCTATTTTCTTTCTCTGTCATGTACAAGTGTTTGTTTGTGGCTTACCTTCTGCATCGAAATGTGTCCAGTCCCTTGATAAAAACAGCGTTGTCTCTCTGTTTAACCAGCTTTTCCTGAATTTAAATGAGGCTGAGGAGCTCTTGATGCTTTCATTTGAGGAAGAAAAACAACACAATGCAGTAATTCTTTTTGCCCAGCCAATAACATCAAGGAGTATCTGAGTCTTTTTTTGTGTCGGCACTAAATCGTCAGGAATGCAGAGAGCTAGGTGTTTAACCATAACACTTGTTTATTCCTTGTTTTAATGTGAAAAATATGCTGCTGTTTTTACCATCCAGTCATTTCTAATCTCGGACAGAGCTCGAATGGTGTCAGTTCTTGCTCTTTTTTTTTTTAGCATGAAAGCACCAACTTTAATACTGGGAAATGATTTTTATTGGCTGGTGGCGAGCTTACTGAGACCAAACCAGTTAAATTGTATGAGTCTCATGAAAACCATCAACCATATATAATGTTTTAAACACCGTCTTCAAGACTTTGTTTTATTGAACCTAATCTGTGTAAAACAACAGCAAACAGTAACAGTAAATTAATGACAACTTTATTGTTTAATAGAACCATGCAACAACCGCAGTTAGGGTTACGGGCAGGACTAGGGTTATCTACAATGTTCCAGATGAGTGACCAATAATTAGAAACTACTTATAAATTAGCAAAAATTCTTTTGGAAATTTTTACCTCAGGTTAAGGAAGTAGGAATGTTTGCTTGTACAAATCAAAGAAACACAATAGTTTGCTTTTTGTTGCATTGCTATAAACAACTAAAACAGTCATGCCAACATAACATACACCATGTTAGATTTTCACAACTTGATTCAACCTCTTTCCTCTTCCTGAGGGCAGGCAGGTGCTTTGAGTTTCTGTGCCTCATCAGAATGTGAGCTTTAAACCGTGTGTGTGTGTGTGTGTGTGTGTGTGTGTGTGTGTGTGTGTGTGTGTGTGTGTGTGTGTGTCCCCAGCTGTGCAGCAGAGATTACAGATGGCTCTCAGTACTTTGTCCTGTTGATGATCACAGATGGAGTGATATCTGACATGGTCCAGACCAAAGAGGCAGTGGTCAACGTGAGTGAACTAACACACATATGCACCCAACACACACACAATGGAAGAAGAAGCAAAGAAACAAAAAGAAAACACAGCTAGGATCTGATGGGTCACAGTCCTGTCATCTCAGTTAGCAATAATATTTATGTATATCATTGCGTCCCTTCATTGTATTTTTTGTGCTGCTAGAAAATGAGGCAGAGTATTTTCTGACAATAGTGTTTTTATTTATTTGGTTTAGATAAAACCTGCTGCCTGCCAGGTAAACATTTTGAGATAATTGCTTTAAACCCCCAAATGTTCCAGCTGTAAAACATTAAAAATAGTGTTGACATCTCATTGAACCTTTGCTACAAGCATTTTTCAGGGTGTTGCGTCAGTTTAAAAGCCTTCCCCAGAGTGAAGCTGCAATACATCCTACATCCTTCAGCTTATGTCTGAAATTCCAGGACGTTTACCTGAAGGACCTCAGAGTGCAAACACGGCTTTCCCACAAATTAGCACAGTTAAGAATCAACCCATTTAGCTCCCTATAATTGGGAGGAAATCTGGAAAACATGACATGTTTTTATCTGTTTTTTTTTTCTTGCTTTCGGAGTTTTCATCAAAACTAGTTACAGTTTGTGTTGATATGAATTTACATGTCAACACAAAAGATGTGCTTGTTGATTGTGGGGCGATAGCCTCAACTGGAATTCTTGATTCTCGCAAGTTTCTAAGTTTCCTTGATCAAAAATGCAAACACTCGATCACTTTTAGCCGTTACTAATTGCCTGGTTTGATTGGAGAAGACTGAGTTAGTTGTCAGAGGCTGAGGCAGTTGCTATTTGTAAATGTTGCGGGAATAGGACAGAAGTAGCCTGGTAAAGCCAGATGCTTTGCTTTCTTCAGAAGGTCTGGATCCTCGGCTATTGAGAAACGATTGCTTGATGGAGAAGTAGGCTATGATGAAATTTGAAATGATTGGATCTGATTTTACCCAGTTGCTAACGTTTGGCAGTGACATATGTAGCATGGCAGCTACATTATAAAGCTTACTGAAAATTGTGTGTGCTGTATGTGGGGAGTAGGGCCACAACATCTTTACCACCAATAAAATCTTTTAAACGTTCCTTTTGCGCCGCTTTTAATTACTCATTGTTTGGAAGCGTGGCCAACACAGACTGAACGGCTTCTTTCACTTCGTCCACTGCCATCGCCAAACTACTACCATAGGCAGACCACGATTCTAAAACAGTGCAGAAAATCTACACAGAGCAGTGGGAAGGCTCTGTGTATGCTACTTTGGCCTTAACACTGAAGGCCAAAGTAGCATTAACAGCATTTTAAACCTCACCATTTTGTCTTATTGGAGATAAACCCATTAAAACTTCTTGATTAGCCAAAAACTGACATGTGGCATGAACATTGAGATTCAGAGTATAAAAAATATTAAAATGTCTAAAATATCTAGCACTACTCCAAAAAGAGCAGGGTGTAATAGAAAATGTTGCACATCATTTACAAAAAAACAAAAAATAAAAATACAAAAGTGACAGGAGGTATGCCTCTACACTGGAGAAAGGAGTCAGTTCAACTGATGTTGAACTGACTCTAGGCTACAACAAAAGTGCCATATTTTGAATTCCATAATGAATTGTTCTCAGCAATGAGTCTTAGGTGGGTTTCTTTCTTGGTGGATGACTTTAAAGTTCTTACGTGAATTTTACTGTCATCAGTGTAGCAGATGGATTGGGGGTTTTGTGATCAGGGGTTTCGTCTGTAGACTTTACACTAATCTGTTGGGGGTAAAAAAGTTGTTTAGCCAATAAGTAAAAGGAACTCATCAGCCTCTGATTTTTCCACATAAAATCAATACCATCCAGATTGTATCAATTTTGACACAAAACAGTGTCTTTGAATAATTAAGTTTTCTAGTATCAATTATATTGATATATTGATTACATTGACAAGCCTAACAAGCAGTCGGCTTTGAGTTTATAATAAACTCAAGTTATAAATTTGACCAAACTCTTCATCTCCAAACATCTACTACATCTGCTGAATTTAAAATGTAAACAATCTTTAACATTTGTGTTATTTTAACAGGCAGCATCACTTCCTCTGTCCATAATCATTGTTGGTGTTGGCCCTGCTGAGTTTGACGGTGAGCAGAATCTTTTTTTTTATTATGAGTAAACATGACAGAGAAGATAAAACCGCTGTAGCAGTTGATATCATCTGCTACTTAACATTTTAAATTGGCATTTGAAACAAATCTGAATAGAATATGGGGTTTTCTGCCAGCCAAAAGATTGGCTTATGAATTCACTCTTTAGTGAGCTAGAGTGAAGACTATTGGTGCCTACATGTCAACAAAAGAAAAGAGCTCTGGAAAAATAGTTTATTATTTCCCCCTTGACTCTGAGACTTCCATAAAGAGGGTCCAAAAAATAACAATATTAATATCTGGGAGCCTACATCTCTGAAGATTTCTTTTGGACAATTATACCTGGACAATAAATTTTTGGAGGCAAGTTCCTCAGGAAAGTGAGGCTTAGCAACTATTAAAGGAACAGGTTTATGTGTTTTCCAGGCACATAGTGCCATTTTATAGCATAATCACGTAACTATGTTAAAAAATTCCATATATGTCAAATATGACTACCAATAAATTTGACTTCATAATTTAACGCTTTGAATTTGGGTCTCTGTCTCTTTAAAAACTCCTGCTCTTTCTGAAACTCCACCTTCAGGAAGTCATAACAACATCACTATTCTATTAACCCTTCAATAATGTTTTTATTATGAGTTACTAGAAAGTAACTCATATGAGCTCAGCGCTCAGCATGCGCAGTTCCACCAGGTGTTTGCTAATTGCTGCTGACTAGTCTGAAGGAGCTGAGAGGAGGAGTCATGGGGGGGGAGCTGCTCTGTGAGGTGGAAGCTCAGTAGTTTGGAAACTGCAGCTCCCAGGAGGACCTGCATCTCGAAGGCGGAGCTGCTAGGTCCACTCAGGCACTTTGCACAGGTGAAGGTTTGATTGGAGAAGACTGAGTTAGTTGTCAGAGGGTGAGGCAGTCATGGAGAAAAAAAACATTTCTCAAATATCAAGGCAACACTCCAGGTATGTTTTTGATGAGGGAATAACATTATACCATGTGGTAAGATTTTACCCAATACTGCCCTTTTCATCAAATAATCTCGTGCTGTGTTATGCACACCCTTTGTCTACACTGACAAAGATGAACTAATTTGCTTAGATGCTGAGTGCCTCTAACTAACAGCAGCCTGACCTTCTTTCTGATTAGTTTAGCTAATAATTGTATGACCAATTATAGGAACTCGTTCTACTGAAGTGTCTTCCACATATGTGAGTTAATTTTTAAACGTTCCCCTTGTCCTGAAGTAGTTACCAGCGTTGCACTGAGAAGTAGCTCGAATGAGCAGAATTCAACAATACACCACACAACATGGGGGGGGGCATCAACAATGACACAGATTCTTTGAAGATGTGAAAGGACTTGATTTTCCACAAATTGCATATTGTTTTTTCACACTTATACCCGTGTACGATGCTTTTCTGATACTGAAAATATTTGGCAAGATAGAACACAGTGTGGCAGGAAAGTTGAAGTTCAGCAAGTAAAAACTGACATACAGTCATGTTCAAACTGACAAATCACTTTAACAATTAATTCCTCAGTCAAGTCTTTGTTTCTCATGGTTGTCCTGCTCTTCCTGCTGAGGTGTCCTTCCTTAAAAAAATCACACATTGAAGCAGTTCAGAAACCGTCTTAATTCAAATAATTGGAAGAGTTCCACAAAACACAAAATTACCGTCACAAAACATTTCTTAATTCTATATAGCTGCTATTACCTTAGAGCTGTTCATTGAGTTGCCACAGTTAAAAAATACAATAATTTACAAAAGTATTCATATCCCTGAACATCTTCCACGTATTGAGTCATTATTATCACAAATCTTGATGCTTTTCATTGGTATTTTATGTGATCAATACAAAGTAAAAGATATTTGTACAGTAGAAGGAATGTTATACAACTCAAAGAAGGTACACAAATTGAGCTCTTACCAATCTGATGATTAATTAATCTAAGTAAAAAGATTCAAAACTGTAAATCTCACATGTCTATTAGTTCAATAATTTAGCAAAAAATAAGGTTCTTGAATTGAAAATGTTGCTTATTTTATCAATTCAGAGTTTTTGATTAAAATGTGATTAATCAGTTACAGATTCTGCCATTAGCTTGATTTGAAAATGTTTTAGTCTACATAGTTCTACAGAAATACATTGACAACAAAAAGTAAAAGGGAATTGTACTATTGGAAGTAAATGTATCACCAGAGTGTCCTATATATGAATTGGTGGAATAAAAAATAAGCCCTGAACAAAAAGATACCCGCTAGAATAGATCAGGCTTTCAGCTAAAGCCATTTACATTCCAGCATCACTCAGTCTAAGACACACAGAATGATGTTTTATAGCAGAAAAAAATCATTTAACGGTGACCTTGACTTTGGCTTGACTCTGAGGGGCTCAAACAAGAAAGCTGCCAGAGCAGCTGTGACATAATGACTTCTCTATGTTGGTTAATGCTCCGCTCCCCATCCTGAAAGAAACGCCATGGAAGGTCCGTGAAGTCAAGTGTGTGGCCGCCACACAGCTTTTAGATCAATGAATTATTTCTCAGAGGGGACTGCTGGAGTGTGAGTGTGCACAATCTGTTTCAGATCAGGAGGGTGTAGCAACTTCACACTTCATCACGGTGTCGTATGGCCTATTATTTCCCACTTGTTTAAGTAATTGAGTGGCAGGAGGGTTGCGAAAGCACCAAGGTGTGTTGAAGGTCATGATCTCAGTAATACCTTGCAGTCTTTGTGGCTCTTTTTTTTTTTTTTTTTTTTTTTTTAAATTTTTTTTTGAAATTACTTCTTTCAATAGTGTTTGCTTTGAATTTT